TCATTGTTTTCTCCTGAAAAATATAAAAAAATGCATATGAATATTCAAGACCGTGCTATCAAATGATCATTCAATCAATTCTATGGTCTATGATCTATGAACACTAGTAAACATACTTAATATACTTAAAATATGTCAAAACAAAAATGTTTTATAACATCAATTAACCAAATCAACATGTTTTTGGAATAAAAATCAATGATTGCATAAAAAGTTAACTTTACACAAGTCACCTAATCGTTTTCTGAATTATAGATCATTTTAACAGTAAAAATAAATGTAAAATTTATGAATTTCGAACGACTTTGTTTTATATGAAAATTAATGCCTGTTTTTTCAGTAGAGAAATCAAAATACAATATGAGATATGGTACTAGTACAAAGATTGCAATGGTAATTTTACCTTGAATTTTGTGGTGGGTGGGCGGGGGGGCACAGACGAAAACAAGTCCCAAGTTTAGATAAGGAAAGCAAACAGGAAAAACTATGTAAGAACATATAATGGTTCACTTGCTTTTTTAACTTATATTTCGTTTACATTGGTTGCTTCACATGTCATTGAGATTGAAAAATTGATGAAGTTCACAAAGGGAAAATTTTGGAAAATAATTGACAAACCATTCTAGAAAAAAAATGATAAACACTAACAAATCACCATTTTATGCAGAAATAAACCCATAGCTGTCACCCTCTTGTATTCCAAACAAATGTCTGTCAGACTTGGGATTTCTATTAGGAAAATTTGCAGAGCAGTGAGAGGTACAAGGAGCAGTAGAAGAAGACACTTTTTCTTTGAAATCTTTACGGATTCGCCACAAAACCTCAACACATTGCTTCATGGATGGTCTGGATTTTCTGATTGGTGCTAAGCATTGGTGAGCCAGTCTCAGGACTTCCTCAACCACCATGTTTGATGCTGGACTTCTCCTTAGCTTTGGGTCCATGGCAATTACAAACTCTCCTTCCTTTAATCTCTTCATTGCCTGCACCAACGGAAATGCTCCCCACTCAACATTTACTAAATGAAGGAATTTCAGTATATTTATCATCTAATATGGAAGATCATTTGTTGAACATTCATAAGAAATATATGCTACTTTAAACCTAAATTTAGGATCAAGGTAGAAGGCTGCTATGTCACTTGAACTTGGAAATATTTGGAGTCTTAGGTGGTTCAGTGGCATGTATGATTGATGTCTCTGATGTCAAAACCTATGTTGAGATAAAAATTCAATCATGTTATCATCAGATCTGTACATAGTCACATACCAGAAAGATCTCAACTGCAAATCGGACCATCTTTTCCAATAAACAATATTTTTGTTTGTGGTTATAAAGGAAAGATGAAATGCTCACCCATCTTATGGTTACTCGTTCCTTGACCGGTCTCTTTGATTCAAACTGGATATCTTCCAGTCATCAACTCCACAAGCAATACACCAAAGGAGTATACATCACTTTTCTCAGTAAGCGAATACGTTCTGGTGTATTCAGGATCCACGTAACCTGCAGTGCCTTTGACTTGAGTCGAGATATGGGTCGCAGCGGGGTCCCCAGTTGCAAGTCGTGCAAATCCAAAGTCCGCCACTTTCGCCCGGAGTTTCTCGGTGATAAGGATATTCGATGCTTTTATGTCTCTATGGATTATAGGAGGATCTGCCAATTTATCATTTAGATGCATCGTCACAAAAAGTTATGTAATCCAATCTTTATTTCAAAATGCAGAGGAGTTGAAACTGGTTACTTAACATTTGGATAGTGATAAAATTTGAGTGTTTGAACTTCAAAACTCAAACCATTGCAGATGGGGAGACACTGACATATTAACTCCTTGAATCATTTTACAGACAAAGAAATGCCTATAAATCGGATAAGTTGGAAAAGTACATAAGTAATACCTGTATATGTATGAAGATAGGTAACCGCATGGGCGACATCGATTGCAATGTCCAGACGTTCAGCGATTTCAAGCCCGTTCCCCTTTATACCTGCATTAAAAGCTATGTTGAGCACCCAACTATCTGCCGTTATCTAAGCCAATGAAGCTATTTACTCTGAAAATAAGAATCTATGTTTCCCATTAACAGTTATCCATTAGCTTCCTCTTCTCAGCCATGATTTCCATCCCATAAATCAGTACTTCTTAAGTTTCAGAAAATGAAAACTCTAGTTTAGAAACTTCCTCAGTTTGAAACTTGTTCCTTACCGTCAAGATGTTCTCGAAGATTTCCATTTGCAACATATTCAACCACGATAATTTGCTCCTCTTTGTGCTCCAGAAACCCAATTAACCTTACTAAATTCAGATGTTCGATCTTCGATAAGGTAAGAATTTCATTCTTGAACTGCAGAGGTAAGCCTTGATCATACTTGTCCTGTCACAGATTGGTATTACAAGTGAAAATGTATTAGAAAATTGAGCATCTACTTTTCCAAGGTTATTGGCATATAGTTTTAGAAGAATCCCCCCATGTTCTGAAGATTAATTCCTCTATATGCATGTTTATATACCTTTTTAGCCCGCTTTATAGCAACAAAAGATCCATCCTCGAGCCTTCCTTTATAAACTGTTCCAAACCCACCATCCCCAATTTTATTTTCTGTAGAAAAATTCCCAGTTGCCTTGCAAATATCTTCAAAGGAGAAACCGGGTGTTGTGATATGTCCACTGGCAGAACTGGAAGAACCATATGAACCAAAGGACTTGAACCCGGCTAAGCTCCTTACATCGCTTCCTGTGGAAAGATCTGTTGAAGCAGAAACTACAGAAAAATAACAGAACTTATGATCAACAATGGATATGAAGTTACAGCCGTTGAAAGCTTATTGATCACTAATCATGATAAATCAAAAGAGCAAAAACTTACAGGAGATTCTTCTGACTTGAGTGTTGCTGTTCGTCTTGTTGACATCAACAGCAGCCTTCTTTCTTTTCCTAAACAGTAATGCCGTTAAAACTCCAGCTAGTTTCCTTGATGCGACTTTAAAGTAGTTCTTAGTTGTTTGAGTTTTATTTTGATCATGAAGAGAACTGGGATCTTGTTGGATCATGCTTGGATACGGCGTTTTCTTCATTTGTGGAGATTAATGGCTCTTTCTCCTGAGTCAGTTCGACTTTTGTCTGTTGCCAAAAAGGTAGAAGCTAAAAGCTATCTTCATTGCCTACTTGCCCTTGCCTTCTCCAGGATATATTGACTTCGTTTTATGCCAATGGCGACCAATTCAACCAGATAAGACTCGGTTCCTTGCTGAACCCATCAGCAATGCAGGAAAAGTCTTAACAGAAATATATGGCTAAGGTCTACCAACGTCATTGCTTAACTACAATGCTCTAGCACAACAGCCCAGGCCCAATACACAATGCTGATGCCCTCATTTGTCGAAGCAGTTGCTTTCATATTAGTTAATAGGTCAAACGTTGAGTGCTATCAAAGTATAATTTGAGAAATGCAATTATTTATTATGTGTAAATAACACGGTGTGACTTCATTTTTTTTTTGCTATAACAGAGTATGACAGCTCCACTAGCACAGACCAGTTGCATTATGGTTTCAATCAGATATTTAAATAGTAGTATGTTATTGGATAGTAGCTGTTATATATAGTAGAAGTATTGTCAAAAATCGTTATTTTATAATTGCGATATATGCAATGATTATAATAGCACCTTCTATTACCGTAATTACGATAAACATACTACAATCAAATAACGGTGTTCAATCGGTTAATAAGGTCACCACCGAACCGAATTTAATTAATTGAATTAATCGAACTTTTTTTCTTTAATTGTTAATTAAACCGAACTTTTTTTCTTGAAAATATTAACAAAACCGAATAAAGTTCAGTTATTTCGGTCGGTTAGCCGAATTAACCAAATTCTTTTGATAGTTTTTTCTAATTAGATTAAATTGAATATAATAGAAGATTTTTTAATGGGTTAAAATTTAATTAGGTATTCATAAATGAATGAGTCTAGTGTGTTTAAAAAATAGTTTCGTCTTAATTCTTAATTGGTTTGAGCTTAAAATATGTATTTAATATATATAATATATTTAATATATAATAATTCCAATTAATTCGGTTAATTAACCAATTTTGAACCAAATTAACAATTAATCAAATATTAAAAAAACTAACCGTTCACTGACCTAAATAATTCAGTGATCGACCGAATTAACCGAACTAATTTATTTCAATCGGTTAATTCAGTTAAAACTGAAAAAAAAAAACCACTCCAACTAAAAATGTGACCACAATTGTAATTTAAAGATATGGTCCAACGAAGCACGAAGAAGTCAATGCAGTGTCTGTGTCACCATATGCGAAAGAATATGAAAAGCAGACTAAAAGATGCTTAACTAAAAAATATAAGCAGAGAACAACATAAAAGACCTCAAACGTCATTGTAGACGAGCAAATCCTAATTTTAACATATTCAGGGTCAGTTCATAGTCAACTTGATTAAAAGTTTCCCAAATTGCACATGCAAGGATCGAATGGGTGGAAAAACAGAAATCTCTGGGCGAAGTGATTTCATTTCTTGTTAATGGTTAGCCAATTCTGCAATAATTTTCACCATACTAACAATATGAAGATACTGCTCCATTTTTTTCCATTGCTGCATTATTAGAAAAACACACGCTTAGTACAACAAAGATGACCATAGGATGTGCTTTTTTTTCTATATATTTTTTTTTATATATAACATGGAGAACCAGAATCATACATGGTTTTACAACACAGAATCTTACTGGTAACAACTAAGCACCATTACAGTATACTCCCACCTATAGAGTTCGATTTTCTCAGCCTACTTCCAGATTGGCTTCTCATTTAACTCCTCAATGGAGTCAATTAGAACCGCAATAGGCCATTGTCAAGGTTGTTAGGAGAACACCTCACACTCCTATTCGACTGCAACATGTGATTAGACCATCACCTTTAGCATCAGTCACACTCATCCATATAAGGATGATCCGTCGACTGAATTCCGAGCACTAACACTATCAACTCCGCAGAAGCTTATCCCTTACAACATTCCCGTTTTCGACTCCATTGGTCATTCTTCTTAACTTCTGCAACGACTCTACTAATGTTCCATCAGCCACATTTCCTCCTGTAGCTTTATCTTCATCTCCACTGGCAATCCTCCTAAGCTTTTGCAGTGAATCCAGAAGTGTCCCTTCACCCACATTTTGTTCAATACCTCTGTCTTCATCTCCATTAACAACCCTTCGAAGCTTCTGCATCGACTCGCTAGCCTCCCATGCCCTACATATCCTCCGAAATTCGTATCATTATCTCCAAATTCACTTTGGTTTCGCCTCGGTATTAAACCCCAGATACTCCAAACATTTCTCCTGCTCCTTGCCTTCTTCAAATTAAAGGCTTTTTGATCAACACCTCCATTAACAACGACATCCTTAGAACCAGATTCCACATTAGAATACCAATTGGAATCCCTCAGTTCCTTCTCGGTAACCAACAGTTTTGCGCCATGAAATAGCCCAACAGTCTCGGGTGACACTTTAGCATTAGAAATCGATGAAATCAAATCATCAGCTTCCCCAAAACTTATCTTCCTATTTGAAAATGAACGGTCAAAACTTCTCCTCCTCCTAGTAAAAGAATCCGCATAATAATCTCTCGTTTGAGCTGACCCACCAGGGCTACTCCTTTCCTCCTCTTTTACAACACTCAATCTCTCTTCCCCAACACTGGGTTCCTCGTTAACCTCTGGGTTTTGTTTCCCAATCAAGCAGCCATCCCAAGAAGCCCTTGGCTCATCAATGGAAAACCTTGAATCATCAACAGATAAACGGGCAAAATCGACTGATAATCTAGGATCAGTATGACAAGATCTTCTGCAGAACAACCCGTATTCCCCGATCTCCGATTGGGTATCTCTTAATCCCTTTCCGTTGTTATTCTCAAGAACCAAGCCCTCACTTTTCTCCTTTTTACTCTGTCTTTTCCTCCATTTCCTCAATTTATTGCTAAAAACGGAAGCTGCTTCCCATAAGGATTTCCCCGAGGCTTTTTTCCTTCCATATTCGAGATCTATGAATTCCTTCATCGTTTTTAACTCTCCTTCTTCTTTCCCCTCTTACAAGCCTTGAAAAGCTTCAACATTCGATGGAGGCAGATTTACATTGAGGGTTTCTATTTTGTCATCGACGGCGAAAAGATCGTGGAGAGTATTATGAGCTCTTACGTCACAAGATTTACGGAGGAGGTGGCAGACGAGGATGGGACATGACCGCCAAAACAGGATTTAGAGCGGCGTAGCTGTGAGGTAGAGGAAGTTGAGGAAGCTGGGGTTGTGGTAGGAGAGTCGTTTTGGATGCCAGCTAGGCGTTCCCGAAGGCATGACGCACAGAAGCCTGTAACCGGTATTGTAGCTGGGTGGCGGTGGAAGGTATACAGAGAACGGCTCTGACGCCGGTGAGAGTGGGGCTGCAAAGTCATGGGTAGACGAGAGGCAATCCTCAGAGTCCAAGAAGAAGAAAATAAAATTCTTAACTGAACTGAAGGTTAGTATGCGAGGGAAAAATATTAAAAATATATATATGTGAAAAACCCGGCAAAAATTCTCATATAATGCTACAGGAAATTTTTAATTCCCAAATTAAAGTGTTCATCCGATTAATTTCTTAAATGGGGTATTTTCTACAGTAAATTTGGATATCTCGCGTCTTCAGGGTTAACCAATTTTTTAGTGGGATCTCCCGGCGTCTTCAGGGTGTTGGATTATTTGTGTTTTCTACGATATATTTAGGATTTCTCGGCGTCTTCAGGGTGAAACAGATTTTTTTTACTCCTTGCTTGGATCTCTAGGCGTCTTTACTTTAAATCCATGAAAAAATTTGGCCTTTTTACACAAATATCACCTTAACATAAATTAATTACTTGTTAGGCACTGTTTAAGAATATTTTACAGATCAAGCAAATTTTTAAATAATTTCTATAAAATTAATCATATTTTGTTAGTATTTTATTTAATTATTGTATTATTTAATTTTTTTATTATTTTATTTAATTTTTTTATTATTTTTTTAATTATTTTATTTTTTTACAGTTATAAAAGAAAGTGGTCCTTGAATAATTATATTCGGATTTCTCGACTTTTAAACTTTTCTCTCGGCTATAAATACGCTCTCAACACGTGGATATCTATACTGAAGCAACGACATTCTTCTAGTTTAGAGGATTGATGTGAATGTTTACAGGTTGAGAGCGTATTTACAGCCGAGAGAAAAGTTTAAAAGCCGAAATCCGAATATAATTATTCAATGACCACTTTCTATCTTCCCATAAGGATTTCCCCGAGGCTTTTTTCCTTCCATATTCGAGATCTATGATTCCTTCATCGTTTTTATCTCTCCTCTTCTTTCCCCTTTACAAGCCTTGAAAAGCTTCAACATTCGATGGAGACAGATTTACATTGAGGGTTTCTATTTTGTCATCGACGGCGAAAAGATCGTGGAGAGTATTATGAGCTCTTACGTCACAAGATTTACGGAGGAGGTGGCAGACGAGGATGGGACATGACCGCCAAAACAGGATTTAGAGCGGCGTAGCTGTGAGGTAGAGGAAGTTGAGGAAGCTGGGGTTGTGGTAGGAGAGTCGTTTTGGATGCCAGCTAGGCGTTCCCGAAGGCATGACGCACAGACTGTAACCGGATTGTAGCTGGGTGGCGGGGTGGAAGGTATACAGAGAACGGCTCTGACGCCGGTGAGAGTGGGGCTGCAAAGTCATGGGTAGACGAGAGGCAATCCTCAGAGTCCAAGAAGAAGAAAATAAAATACTTGACTGAACTGAAGGTTAGTATGCGAGGGAAAAATATTAAAAATATATATATGAAAAACCCTGGTTAAGCCCTTTTGTTTTGGATTTTATCATTGTATAATTATAATTAAGAGTAAATTATGTATTTAGTATCTAATTATTTTTATAATTTTATTTTGATAATCTAATTATTTTTTAAAATTATATCTTAAATTATAATTTTGTTCTATTTTAACCCTCTAACATTAAAAAATTAACAATGAGATAACATGAAATATGTTAAATAAACATCACTCAATATCTTCTATTAAGCTCGTTCTCATATAGAATGTATAAGTTCAAGGTCAAAGCATCTCAAGGATAACAAGAATCATACTAACAACTATACCAAAATGAAAGACTTCTTTTGTGCTTAGTTTTTCATATCTTTTCACTGTAACACACTCGTTATATCATTGCTTATTTTGCTTGTAACATCCCAAATCTTGGTTTAGGGGTTTCAAGCTAACCCAAGAATGCATTGGAAAACCCTATATCTTACAGGAAGCCTTGACTCAAGTTTGAGTGAAATTGGGTTTGGATTGAGCCCAATAGTGGGTAAAATGGGAATTTTTAGATTGTGGGCAAAATAAGAAGGACCAAGGAGATAATTATATCATTCATAAATTGAAAGGTCGAATACCCATTAAGTGAAGATGATCTCACTTCTGACAACTTCTCATATCTCATTTTCTTTGTACTTTTGTCTTTTTCTTTACCCAAAAACCCCCATCCTCCTTCTTGCTATATTGCTTAAAGGTGAAAACTTTATCACTAGCAATCCTAATCTGTTTCGGTGAAGGTAAGAATCAAAACCAACATCTCTAGAGCTTCCATTTGAGACCACCGATCAAGTTTTGGTCATGGTATCCAAAATGTTGGTTTTAGTAGGGTTTAGAAACCCATAGTAAATCATCCCATTTTCTAAGAACCCAAGCCTTAGAAAATGTTTTAACTCATTTCTAGGCTCCCAAACACTTTAGTAATTCATAAGTTTGATTAATGCATAGTGAGAAAAGTTGGAGAAAGCTCTTAGGCAAAGATGAAGGAAAAGCTCACCCTTGGTTGAACTTCATGTGTTTCCAGTAACTTAGAATCCAAGGTAACACACTTCTAAATCAATTCTACCACATGTAGATCATTAGATGTGTTTTGGTAGGTTGCATGAGATATGAAACATGCCCATAGTAGATTGCATCTTTTGGTGTTTTTCAGCAAGTTAATAGACATATTATGACCCCTCTTTTCATACATAAAACTTTATTAATGTTTGACGACCTCAGTAGGGCTTTCGGGTGTATTGGGGTGTCATTTTTGTGCCTAAATAGGGCACTTTTGGGCTTGAGTATCAGTACTAAAAGAACAATACCGATATTGTTTGTTAGATGGGTTAAAACAAGGGAGTTTTTTTGCTAGAAATATAGATACTCTTTCATTGGGCATCGATACTGGGGTTGAATAACTCAGGAGTACCAATATTAGGTTCACTTAGTATATTTCATTAGCCAAATTTGGTATTGATACTCATGGGAGTATCGATATTGAGCGTAGAGTATTGATACTCTAAGTAGAAGTATCAAAACTGAGGTATTTTTCAAAACATCGAAGCCATTTTTGATATCGACACTTGTCACAGTATCGATATCTTAACACAGAAGTATCAATACCTTGCCCAAGAGTATCGATAGTACCCTTCCTTCCCAGTTCATATAGTTAGTTAGTATCGATACCCACCGGTCAATATCGATACCCGGAGGATAATATTGATATTGAGGGGTTTAGTATTGGTATACACTAATAGTTTTGGATAATAAATCCATTTGGTTAAGGGTTAGATTTTAGGGCCCAACAATATCACATCACCATGGAATAAAACTACACGTGAGAATAGTAACAAATGTAGTACTGTAACATCCATAACCTGTATAATTATACCTATACAGATTATAGATGTCACCCGAATTTCTAAAATCCATTTATCCAATTTAAAAGTGATTTAAAATTTATTTTCTTAAAATGGTAATTGATATTATAAAAATATCATATCATATAATTTATATTTTGTTATAGCAAATTTAATTCAAAATATTTTTTTATTTTTTTAAGAATAGTACCATGAACATTGATGAACAGTATCGTGAATAAAATGTGCCGATTTAGTTAACCGGGTCAAATATCACCCAAATGGAATCCTTTTTATTTGATGTCAATGGTAGTCCTGTAACAAAATCCATATTAACTCTCTCCCATTTTCATTCTGGAATAGAAATTGGTTGTAACAATCCCGAAGGCACCTGATGTTCAGCTTTCACTCGCTGACACATCAGACATGTAGCAATAAACTCAGAAATGGCTCTTTTCATACCCGACCACCAAAATCGACTCTTTACATCATGATACATTTTGCTCCCACCTGGATGCATAGTTAATGGACAATAATGTTCCTCAGAAAGAATATATTTCTTCAATTCATCATCATGTGGAATATAGATTCTTCCTTGGCAATACAAACATCCATCTGATTTGACTTCAAAGTCTTTAGTCTCACCTTTTCCCACTAGTGAAATATTTTCCAAGCATCTGCCATCTTTCTTTTGTAGCTCTATTATCTGATTTGAAAGCATCGGCTTTATTTTTAATTCAGCCAACAGTGCGCCATTTTCTTTCAACAATAGTCGCACATCCATAGCTCGCAAAGATGCAAAAGTTTTCCGACTAAGTGCATCTGCTACAATATTTGCTTTACCTGGATGATAATCAATGACCAAATCATAGTCCTTTAAGAGTTCTATCCATCTTTCTCTGTCTCAAATTGAGCTCTTTTTGAGTCAACAAATATTTCAAACTCTTATGATCCGTATAAATGTGCATCTTTCACCATACAAATAATGACGCCAAATCTTTAGAGCAAAAACTACCGCTGCTAACTCAAGATCATGAGTAGGATAATTCCTCTCGTGTGTCTTTAATTGTCGAGAAGCATAGGCTACCACCTTACAATCTTGCATAAGTACACAACCAAAACCATTATGAGATGCATCACTATAAACCACATACTCTTTGCCCGATTCTGGTTGTACCAACACTGGTGCTTCCGTTAAAATCTTCTTTAGAGCTTCAAAACTCTCTTGACATTTCTCAGTCCAAACAAATAAAACATCCTTTCACAAAAGCTTGGTCAATGGAGAAGCAATCATCAAAAAGTTTTTCACAAATCTTCGATAATAACCAACAAGTCCAAAAAAACTTCGGACCTCTGTAACATTTTTTGGAGGTTTCCACTCCAGTATTGCTTGAACTTTATTTGGATCAACTCTTATGCCTTCTGCCGAGACAACATGACCAAGAAAAGTAATTTCTGATAGCCAAAACTCACACTTTGA